AGTTAACCGGGGGGGCGTGTAGGGGTAAAAAGGAGGCTGTCTTCTGGATTTGCAGGGGCACTCGGCTCTGTGACGCTGTTTTTGGACGAAGTCTGTCTTTTGGCTGTGCTTTTGGTCTTTTGTGTCATTTCTAGGCCACCGTTGCATCTTCTTTTTTTTGGCCTGTGTTTCTTTTCTCTTTGACACAATTTCTCTGGCTTTTTGCTTTGGGTCAGCTTTGTGGTGTTTCATATAATTTCCAATAGTTGTTCCTTGCTGGTATTGTGTAGAGTGCAGGGCAGCAGAATTTTCTTCAGATTCCCTGCTGTGTACAGGGACAGGATTTGCTAGGTGTGTGGGTTTGGGGGAATAGAGTTGCGCATACACTTGGAAGTCACATATGCCGTTTTTCGATTTATGAAAAAGCAATTATTCTGGTTTAATGTGTGTTATAACAGTCATTTGCTCATTTTGGACCTGTCTACTGTACATTGAGGACTTAGGTGCTGTGAAGCAGCTGGTCTGTGGCTCGATGAGGAGAATGCATTCAGAGAAGGCAAAATTACACCCAGCTTAAATATCGCTTTGGGCACTTGGCAGAAATGGTTCAAAATGGCGCGACAATGGGAGGTACTGTGCCTTTGAACCAGACTTGTGTACTGCTTCTAACGGGTGACATTTCAATGCAACATGTGTGCATCCATTGCAGTTCTCTCCCATGTTCACAGCCTTTTTATGCTTTGTGGATTTTTGATTCAATATAGGATGGGGGTTTTATGGATATGAACATGTACTTTCTATTATTCTAAGTGTGATTGAACTGTGGACAAAGAGTTGAACTGGGAAAGCAGGGGACGGCCAACCTTTCCTGAACGTCATCCTCCATTTTTTAAGCTGATCTCATGTTGGACTGACACTAGAATGTGAAGTGCACTTTTTAGGGAGGACCTGACAGAGAATTCAGTCATGGAGGTAATTCATTCTGATACACAGATGCATCTCACCTTATCACAGTTTTAGAATTGATGTTACCAATGCAGCTATGTGGTGCACTGTTGACCAGTTTGTTATGTTGTATGCTTTTTTGTAGATCGTGAAGGTGTGGAGCGAAGATGGGGCCGGTAAAGTTTTAGAGATTCCAGCGGACATGATGGCCCGGGATGTCTGTCAGCTCCTGGTCTACAAGAGCCACTGTGTGGACGACAATGCATGGACGCTAGTGGAGCACCATCCCATCCTTGGACTCGGTAAGGACTTTTGTTATCATTGGAAGTTTTAAAGTAGCATATTTGGCTTTTATACTATGTGTCACATTTTTTTTAGTAACATAATGTAAAATGTGATGATGTTTTAATAAGATTTGCTCAATGTCTGGTGATTTTATTTGCACTAGAACTCTTACAACAGTAGCAGGTGTGCTCTGGGTTCCTCTGTACATCTCTGTCTATGGTTCTTTTGTGTGTTGTTTCTACATGGGTGGAGATACTCCTATGTGTAGCTCAGTATGTATGTGCACTTGAGCATGGCACTGGTCCTTGTACGCCTTCTATACGACTTGGCAGGGAGGTGTGGCGCTCGCCAGAATAGGCATTTTCCATGTACTACTCACATACCTCACAATAATTCACAGCTTACAGAGAGAGAAAAAAGTTCTAAGCTATTTCACTTCTGTCTTATATCCTTTTATCATTTTTGGTAAGGCTTTCCTACTCTCAAAAGTTTTATTTTTAGATTCAAGGGATGGCTTTGTGCTTTGGTGGTGCTTGATCTGTGTTTCTGGAAAAAAGTGCACAGGAGAGATGGAATGTGAGTTTAGGAGCGGCGCTGGGAGGGAAAACGCAAGGCTAGTGAGGGGCGAGCGGACGACAGACGGAGATGGAGAGAGAGAAGGAGGGGTGTGGACTGGAGGGGTGAAGGGTGGGGGGAGGCAGAGTTAGGAGAGAGAGGCCTGGACTAAAGCGTCATACCAGAACTGCAAGGAGCCAATGGGGGGTGTGCTTCGGACGAGCCCCTAGCTTCCTCAGCCAATCAATCTTACCTTAACCCTTCCACAGGAAATTCCCCCGCTTGCAGCCACTTTGTGCACACAGCACACATGCAATGTCTTAAAAGGGGAGCACAGGCATTTCTACCCAGCCAGAACACTTTTTATTTGCCCTAACCACTTAACAGATAAAGTTTACAGCTGCAGTTAGATGTGAATATGTGTGCTTTTATTTAAAGAAACAGGCTGGCTTACACACTCTAAAAGAAGAACTGACTCTAACTACAAATCCAAGGATCCGGCTATTATATCGATGGTGGTGGGTTAGTACAGGGACTAGGTGTTATCAGTAGTGAACTAGAACATCCTGTCACTATCAGTTTCTAGTCACCTCTTTGACATCATTTCTCCTCCTCCGCTGATGAAAAAAGGAGACCTGGCCTCTGTTATACATACATTGATACAGCACACTGGCTCACTAGCTCAGCATGAGCTCTTAATGTGTGGCAGTGTGCCCGTGGCTTGTACTTTGCTTATGGCTGCACTGCTCTCAGCAATCAGCCTAAATATATGACATCATCTTCCTGCAATGCCCACCACCTCCTCCTCCTCCTCCCCACACTCACTCCGCACCCCCCGCCTGCCTCACTGTGCTTCTTCTGTTCACAACCCCTCCTTGTTTAACCTTTTAGTCCCTTGCTTGTCTCCTGGCAACAGTTTTTCTTGCTGTGTCATTGTATATAACGATACAGTAAGTCAGTTCTGATTTAAATGAATGCAGTCTATAAGTGAGGACATTTGACTTGGACAATTTGTAGTTGTTCAGTGTATTCAGAGTTTTTAGATTATTATTACTTTATCCACATATTGGCCACTTCCTTCTGCAAACTGAAAGTATTACTAAATGTTTTGTTAGTGTGTTTGTTCACAATGCAGATAGACAATATTTCAATAGCTTTCAGAATATGTTTTTAGGAAATATAAATAAGAATAGAATGGATGGATAGCTAAAGATATTTGTGAGGGGGCTACTTGCAGATCATCGAAAACATCCTTTAAAAGTAATGTTTTAAATATGTGATCTGATTCTATCACAATGAGAAACAACTTAAGTGTGTGTGTGTTGCAGAGAGGTGTTTGGAGGACCATGAACTGGTGGTTCATGTTCAGTCCTCCATGAGCAGCGACAGTAAATTCCTCTTCAGGAAGAATTATGCCAAATATGAATTCTTCAGGAACCCCCTGGTGAGTCACTTGCATCCCTCAATTGACCTTTCTGTGACTGCTGGCTTTTAGCACGCAGCCCTCATACCCCCAAGGCACGCTTGGCCCCTTTACCTTCTAATATTTTTGGGTACACAAAGAAAAGTGATTCAAGGCTTATGTGTTTATTACCAGTAATTACAGGCAAGTCATGTTTCCATTGCATAATAGACCTATTGAAAAGCAATATGAATCCATCTACCTGCTGGATAAAATAACACATTTTTATGCACATATACCCTTATTTTGCAAGTAAAATAAATGAAGTGGCAAGTCAGCATCCGGTCCTTTGCATGGCACCTTTTGCTGATGTGGACTCCAGCGCGGCCTGCTGGGTATGCAGTGACATTATTGCAGCGGTGATTTAGGTGAATGTCAGAGCCAGCAGGTGACCTCAGCTCTGTAGTAATGAGCACAGTAAAACACCAAAGCGCTGGCCGTGGCCTGTCAATCACACTAAGAGTAGCAACGCTCGCTAAAGGGGATTACATCAGCGGGTGAGATCATGCTGCATCTACTTCCAGGCTTGGAGTGCCCCCTCTCACTTTGTCTTTGAGCCGAGAGCTTGTTCTCAGTGACAGGGAGAAGGAGAGGTGGGCTCTGCAGACAAGCACTCCACGCTGCTCATGTATTAACGCAAGGGCTTTTGAGAGACTAATTGTAGCTTTCTCTCTTTGCAGAACTTCTTTCCTGAGCAGATGGTGGCTTGGTGTCAGGAATCTGATGGCTCAATCCCTCAGTCACAGCTTCTTCAGGTGAGACAGTGATAGTGCAAGAAATATGCAAGAGCTTAATTTACATTCATAATCATTACATTCATTAATCAGGCATTTCTGAATTGAGAATTTTTCACATATTCAAACATGTTTATCACAATATAAAAGAAAACATTTGCAAAAAAAACTAAAATGATATGACTAAGACTGCTTAAAGGTGGCTTTTACAATGCTTCTACTTGTTTTGTGCTATTTAAGTTATAGCGATAAGTGATGCTTCACATCTGATCGATTTCATCATTTGAGCTTTTAGCCTTTGCAGAGCTTCCACAGTCTGTTTAAGTTGTTCTAGGCATAAACAGCCTAGGCAATTAGTTTAGTTTTTTTGGTATTGTATCATCATTGTGTCAGAATCCTACTGTTAAAAGAATTAAGTTTTATTTTAGCATATGTGGTTAGCTCGTCAATTACAAAGCCAAGTATTATATTTTTAAATTCATGTTGTAAATGTTAACATAATTACTTTTCAATGCCTGGCTACAGTTTGTTACATTTTCTTCTTACAGAATTTTCTAAACTCTAGCAGCTGTCCGGAAATCCAAGGCTATTTATATGTGAAGGAGCCGGGCCGTAAGTCCTGGAAGAAGCTCTACATGTTCCTGCGGCGCTCTGGGCTTTATTACTCCACAAAAGGAACATCCAAGGTACAGATTCACTGCTTATTTTGTGGAGCTGGTTTAGTCATTTTGTGCATACGTCTAACCTGTGCCTCTGTCAAACTAATAGGAACCAAGGCATTTGCAGCTACTGTCTGATTTAGATGAAAGTAACATCTTCTCCACCATCACGGGACGAAAACTCCACAATGCTCCCACAGAGTACCAGTTCTGCATCAAGGTAAAAACAACTGGCTGTTGTATGTTAACTATAGAGAGTCCTGTTAAGGGCACTTTACCTGATTTTCTTTTTTTTTGTTTTTTGTTTTTACATCAAATACAAAGCTAATGTTTGCTGTGGTCTAAGCAACAACTAGCATGCAAACAGTGCACCAGTGTGACATATTTGTTTGCAAACAACACGCAAAAGTCTCATTTTGTATCTGTACTGGACCAAAAATACATTTACATGAAAAAAATTTAGTATAGCCACTTTTTATTAGAGCAAAGATTAAGTTTTTGTTGTGATGTGATACTTATAAAGGTCACAATGCTTAAACTAAAAGCATCCTTGATCACTACAGTGATTTGGATCCATCCCAAAACATTGTGCTAAGTGACATTTGATAAGAACCACTGTACCCTCTGCTGTACTGTTTGAGCTTTACTAGTATTTGCAACAGATTGGACCAAGAGCAATTTATCCAGTCATAGCAATAATGTTTATCATGGCTAGCTAAATAACAAAATGCTTTAATAGTAGAGCAAAGCACAATTTTGTATGAATGTGATTCAGTTGTCATTTTGGGAGTCCTCGTATTGCTGACAAGTATCAACATAGAGCTTGTTACTTGTTGCAAAGCTAAACTCAACCAATCACTGGAAATGGATGTGAATAGATGGATGCCCCAACTTTTGAAATCTTGCTCATCAAGAACCAGAAAGTCAATTTCTGACCATGAGTATTTACCTGAGTTACTGTGTAGGGGCGACAGTAGCTCAGTTGGTAGACATAAACATCATTGGTATACAGTAGTGGTAGGATCCACTGGCCAACAGGTTGGCAGTGCAATTCCAGCTCTGCTTTGTAGTCTGTATCTTATTTGCTAAATATCGTGAATAATATATTTTTTTATTAACAAAGGCCATAAGGGGAGATACCAACTATGGCATGGCACAAATTAATACATTTAAAACTCTAGTCACTGTAGCTCAAGTAATAAAGAAAATTGTAATGGGCTATACATGAGCTCTCTTACAAACCACATATGTGATGTTACCTCATCTCTGGCAAAAGCACTTTGTAACAGGTGTCCACCAAAGCCATGTGGTTAAAACGACCCAGTGGGGGCTCTTAACTCACACTCAGCACTATGGGACCCAGGCCAGCAGTTATCTGTGGTGGGTCACCTGCTGATCGGGGATAAGCTCACTAGGATAAGCCTGGATGGTACAGCAAATCTAGTTTGCCTAACCTTCTCACCTCTGTGTGTCTCCAGCATGCAGGCTGTCAGTGGGGTGACTGTGCGGCTAGGGTCAGGGATTTTAGCTCTATGACCGGTGACTACTCTGCTGTGAAGTCAGTGATACCAATGCATTAATCAGTCGGAAATGTTTTTTAGGGCTGTAGTCCCTTAGTCATGTGGTCAATTAATAAAAAATGGCACCAGCAACCAACTTTTTATTTTGAAATTAAGGATTCATATAAATCACAGCAGAAAAGAGAAAGCCTGGAATGAGTTAGCTGGTGTAATTTAATTAGCTGTTTGATTTACAGATGCTGATTACTCGTCCTTATCTGTATCCTAAGCTGTAATAATTCTGAGAACTTCTGTTCATACCACCAGGCCATGCCCACCTTTACTCGACTAATCAGTGCATAGGGCATGTCTGTAGTTGGCCAAGAATTTCTTTAGTCAACTACTAGTGTGTGTGTGTTTTTATTAATACTAATGACCTTGCCATAATGAAAGATAAATGAGCCCCATAAATGCTAATAGGGCATCACCAAATACCCCGTCATTAACCTTGTAATGTTGCAACTGTGATAAAATGATGGAAGATTAGAGGCTCTGCAGCACCACATGTCCACCGGTTCATTAGTGTCTTGGTCTAGCTTCGCAAATGGCTTGAACGTGTCTCTGTACCTTTCAGCGATGGCCGTGTTTGCTCATTAATCTGATCTCCCACTGTGTCTGCTGCTTGGTTGACAGCCCAGTAAAGTGAGAAGTGACTGTAAAGAACTGAAGATGCTGTGTGCTGAGGACGAGCAGAGCCGGACCTGCTGGATGACTGCCTTCAGACTACTCAAGGTACTACTGTGAGCTAGGGTTATCGTGCATAACATTTTCTGGAAGTCCTGGTTCATGTTTCTTCAGTGCATACCAAATTTGACCAGTTTTACTTACGATGTGGAATGTTGAGGATTCAATTAAACATATGTAATGTAACACTGAGAATGTAGCAAAATCCAAGTGTCATTATACTGGATCATCTTGGTATTGAGCAAAAGGCTATATATAACAGATGAATAAAAATGAATGGGAACTTTTCTGAATGGGAAAAAAATCTTCAAAATGTTATATCAGGAAGATAAAAACTATGGAAAAAGAAGCAATTTTGGATATTTATTTTCATTTTTTTTGCCCATAATTCACATTGATCAAAATTTCATCTGTAGTCCAAAATAATACAAAATTTTATTGGTTAGTTCAAGACACCAGACAATTTGTCTTGTGTCATGCATGCTTAACTACAGTGAGCGAAGTGATCCAAAGCCAGTTTAAGTATGGTTACAGCGAAAAGGGCTTCTAATTGGCCTCTGTTAATCACGAAGCGCTATAAGGCAGATGTTTTGCTGTATTGTAAATTTATGGTGTAATCATGTATTTTTGTCTCTTCTCAGTATGGCATCGTCCTCTATCAGAACTACAGCCTGCCACAGCAAAGGAAGCATGCCCCCTCCCATTTCTCAGCACCCGTGGTGAGGATCTGCTCTCTAAAATCACCTGCTTAAAACTGCAATCAGAGGCCCCTACCCTGCTGTTAAGATGGATGTAGTAATTAACTGAGATAAGCCAAGGAACCAGTTCACTCAGTCAACTAGTGGATTGATTACTAAGATGTAACTTCATGTCAAATCTGATCAATTTTTTATTCCCCATCATTCGATTTAGTCAAAAGCTAGATGAACTCCCATTCACACCATCACCGCTGCAGATGACCTTTGCTTAATGAGGTTAATTATGTTCTGTAGTAAAAGGCTTATGAGACAGATTTAGGTCATTCTACTCATTTAAACAGTATTTGCAGCAAAAGTGCATTCTACACAAAACATTTTACCTGGTAAGTATTTGGCGAAAGTTGTTCCTTACATGCATGCATTGTTTATGTTTGCATGTCTATTGTATTAATATGCACACAGGTCTGACCCAGACTAATCACCTCATAGCTTGGGGCCATGGTTAAGGTGTTATAAGCTTGCTTAGAATGACAGTGAATTAAAACAAGTCACAATCCTCTGGAACATACTGTTCAGCAAGTCTATATTTAGACTTAACATATGGTGGTGTACCAATATGTAAATAAACCTTTAATCATATTTTCCGTTACTTTATTCATTAAAATATTTAAT